AGGCAATACCATAAGGACAATTATTTTGGGTAGAGGGCTGCTTACTGAATTTTGGCAAGCTATGGAGGGCCGCATGACCGGCAGTCCAGGGCAGATAAATATTAATTTTCTAAATTTTTTAGGGGCCCTGCGGGCCAGATAGAATCGCCTGGCAGACTGTATGGGGCCCCCAGGTTGCATTTTGCCCACCCCTGCCATAAGGCCATCAGTAACCCAAACCTCCCAATCAATAAAGACATCACTACACCACCACCGGATAGGCTCAAATCTAGAAAAACCTTATGAAAATACACCAAGCAGCACTATGATGATAACAAAAGCATCAAAAAACAATGGAGGGAAGCCTGGGCAAATACCAACGTGCAGCAGAAATACATTGTTAGTTACCCTAGAATCCCCCCAGCCAGGATTTAACTTACCAAGAAAGATTTGGTCTTCCCTGAATTGCATCCAGACACTTCATGGAAAATGTGGACACCTACTCCATAAATGGAGAATCAAAGAGAGTCTGGATTGCAATTATGGTACAATTTTTCAGATAGTGCAACACATTGTGAATGATTCTCCAATTAGGTCATTAAATGGTGATCTAAAATCAGTTCATGCAGCTACCCCTGAAGCAGTCAAATGGCTATCAAAATTAGATACTAACCTATGAATGTTGTAACCTTAAAATGTCATATGAAAGAGAGAGAGACACTGAGATATGAGATGACATACAAACAGTTTTCAGAGTAGCAGTGGGCCAGCTGCCCCTCCTCCCCCCCTTCCTTTTTACTCAGTATAAATTGTTCATCTGTCCATGCCTCTTCCCCCTGCTCAAACCTGTCAGGCATAAATATGAAATAGAACAGAAAGGGCTATAAAGGATGCAAGATTTGAAAGAAAGAGATTGCGAGAGAGAAATGTGGCTTAAAGAGGCTCAGTAGTTAGCCTGAGGATATCAATAGGGGTTGTCTCACACTGGAATTCTGGAGGCAGATATGCCTTGAGCACAGATATAAGGAGGGTCCTGACATCTACAAAAGGAGAATTCTGAGAAACTTCGAAGTATATTTGAGTCAGGGATCCTCATGCAAGGAGGATGCGGAGCTGGTGTAAGCAGGCAAAACCATCACAACAATGGAACTACATTGGAGCATGTCAGGGAATGACAAAACTAGTGGTACTTATCCAATTTCCATCTACTGGAGACATCATAATCCAACACCTAATACATACTGACCATGCAGAAGCTCAGAATATGAGCGTGCATGTTCTCCTGGACTCCTAAGGTTTGGTTACTCTCCTGGTGGCCATGGCTTTTCCTTTATTGTGTGCAAAGGATGGAACTAACACTTAACTGTCACCAATACACAGAACCAGAATGAGAAGTGTCACTTGCAAATCTTCCCTCTTGATCAATGGTAAAAGACAACAGTGGGATTAAAGTTTGTCATCCTTGAGCAACTAAGTTAATACTTACCTGAGAGCGACTGTTGCAGTTGGAGTTCCTCTCAGGGCTTTCAATTCTGACTTGCTGTGAGAGCAGGCTCATGCTACAGTGTCTGCTATACTGTGAAGATTTTCCTTCCACAAGGGGAAATTAAAAATATTCTGCAGTATTATACAAAAGTACCATGTCTTCTCTTCACTCTGCAAAATTTAAACCTTGGTGATGTGCCAAACTGGACTATAAAGTCTGTCATGTTGTCCCACAATATTTAATTTTGAGCCTGAATTCTCTACAAAAGTCTCCATCACTCCTGCCAGTATGCAACACCATTGCGCAGGCAGCCCTCTGCATGGCTGACAACTTGCCTTATATTTAGGGACCTACCAAATTCAGGGCAGCTGCTCCCCTGATTTCACAGTCCAAGCATGGTGCCAGTCACCATTATCAAGGTGGACTGTGGCAGCCCCCCCACACTATGCCTCTGATTGGCCAAGGGGCCCCAGAAGTTCCACCCCTGGGGAGGGACAAGACTTCCGGGGTCCCTCCACTGTGCTCTGCCATAAAAATCTACCCCTGCCCCCCAGTCTCCTTCTCTATACTTCAGGACACCAGGGCTTCCCACCCTTTTCAGTTTTTGCAGCACTCCTCCCTGCCCCCTGCTGTTTGCTGCCATTTTTCTGCTTTTTCACAGTCCCTCCACTTCTACAGAGGTTGGGGTTTTAGCAGGCACCTACCAATTTCACAGTTTCCGTAAAGATCATGAATTTGGTAGGTTCATACTTATATTATTAGATAGGCACTGTACCTAAGTGTAAGGGGAATAAAGAGAACTGAACTACAATGACAAGCGGAAACAGTATAAAAAGCAGTGATATTTTAATAAAGTGTTTCATCTCCATAGTAGTGAATACGTTAGCTGTGAACTACATTCTTTTGGTTAACAGTGTTTTCTCTCACTGCTACAACAAACTGCTTTCCAAACAAAAAGCACAATGTACGGCTTTAATAAAAGGCTCACTCATAAACAGCAAAAGAAAGCTGTTAGAGAAACATAAAGCATTTTACAAAGCTGTTTATTAAAGGCAAATCAGTCTGATATTCATGTGAATCTGAAGACACAATGATAAAACAAATCTTAGTAGTTAAAGAATCAAATTATTAAACCCATAGAAAATATGAATAAGTAGGTATTCTCAGTTTATAAAAAGAAATACTGAAAACACTGGAATACTATCAGATTTACTTAACATTACACAAAGATTTTACATTTGAGGCATCTGTATTCAGAGCACCAAGTTACAGTATTGTCACACATTTGTTCCAGCCAGCCAGTCTGGCTGAACATAATTTTTAAAAGTTAATCCCTTAAATTTCTAAGAGCGGTGAATTTGGATGGTTTGGCATCCATAATTTCATTTAATCAACTAGAAAACCTCTATTTCTTCATAAATTCTTCACAAATTAAGGGCTCATCCTCTTAACAAGATGACAATAAAAAGTGCGCTTTATACTACACGTTATATACTGAACAAGTAATATTATATCTCCATAAATAATTGTTTGAGCCCTCAGATGCCACTACATCTTGCATTTCACCTGTATGCAACATACAGAGAATTTCTTAAAAACTATAAAGCTTAACAGAAGTAGTCAGTTTTATTTAACTGTTTTAGCTGTAAGTTCCAATGTATTTTTGGCTAAAAGCCAGACAGCATCTGATAGAAAAGCTGGCACATTAGTTTTGATTGTACATCTGTAGTTAAAGATGCAATCACATTCTAAAACAACCCTTTCACTCTTTAAACGCACAAGAAAGGGTCAAACAGCTATTTCTATAAATTTTGTCTTGATGTTGTAAAGATGTCAAAAGTGTATGAAAAAAGTAGAAAAATAGACTTAATGTTAAATATTGCTGAACAGGATAATCATTACATCTTCTTTTAATGGCACTGTGAACATTTAGAATCCTGCTACTTACAAAGAAGTTTTCAATAGATTACAAATGCAGTATAGTAATCATCCCAGGCCCCAAACATTTACTAGTAGATTCCAAGCACTGTCTATATTATAGAAACATATTTGAGAGACATTCTTAAGTACTACGGTTTATATATTTTGTAAAGTTTACATATTTTGATTAAGTGAGTTAAAAAAAACCAAAATCATGGCACTTAAATACAGCTTTAAAAATACTGTGTAGATTTTATATGAAAGTAGCAACAGGAAAAAATGGATTCGTTTATCAGAAATTCTATGTAAAAAAGTATAAAGTTAAATTCATGCTGCCTTGCTTTGAGGAGAAAGAAGTGGTTACATAACACAAATAAGAGTTTGCACAGTTCTAATTTATCTGAACAATGTAGATTAGAGCAGCATTAGACAGAGGGATCATAAACAAACAGCTGTCTTACAATTTAATGGTCAAACAGCAGAAAAAAGTCAGATATCAAAATAACATTTGCTTCTGTATCTGTATGTTATCTCTTCATGTATTCTTTTGGCGTTCTAAATAAAATTAAACACTTCGCTAACACGTGCCCAATTAAAATTGGAATAAAAACGGACTGAAAAGTTGGTTACTAATATGACTAATTTGAAAGGAATACATTTTAGCACTGAAGACAGGGAGTTTGATTACTTTTCTATAGTGCAGATATGAAATAATGTAGTTAAGCTGATTATTATTAATAACAATAAGCATTATAAAATCATAGACTGAACATGGTAAATAAGAATCAGTGTGAAAATCTAGATTTTTCTGAAATTGTCATTAGAAAAATATTCTAATTATAAAAATAATTTGCATGTCAGCACAGAATAAGCAGTATATTTTCTTCTTACAATCAGCCTTAGTTTTAGATTTTTGGATGGAGGTTTGTTAAAGAAAAGCATATATAATTTCTCAATATATTATCAAGTGTCTATATAATTTAATATAGAATTAGACAAATATGCAACAAGACAGTAAATTACAAGTAGTTAATACATTCTGTAAATACTATTACAGAAATGCGCAGTTATGACAGATGACAATTTCAAGCACTAATCAGCTGGTTACAGAAAAATACAAAATATATTTGTAGCCTACTAAGTCAATATCATTTTCTTTCCACTCAGTTATTCCATTACTACTCAAAACTTGTATAAATTGTGTGCGTGTGTGTGTGTGTGTGTGTGTGCGTGTGCGTGTGTGTGTGTGTAAAAAAAAAATTTAACAGACCTAATTACATTTACTGGATCAAAATCTGGGTACAAGTTGGCTTTTTTCCCCCATTCTTTTATTTAAACAAGTGAATTTAAGTAGCCAAAACCTAAATGGTACATGTGGTGACGGAATCCTACGTCTCAACCTAGCAGCAGGGCAAGCGAAATGCTTGTCTTTTAAGTATTTGATTCTTTCCACATCCCTACTTTGGGAGATTCTATTACTGGTACAGACCCTAATTAGAGAGGAAAATTTAGAAGGGCAAAATGCAAGGACAGAAATTCTGCTTTTTAAACCCTCTTCAAAATGAACAATTACATAAGTCATCAACAGTCTGATTCTTGACATAAACAGGTTTTGCATTTAAAAAATGAATACATAACTAAAAGGTAAAGGCAGGAACCTCCAGAGTTTCTCAACAGTTGAAGCAGTCATTGCGAGGAGTCTTTTGTTAGAGAATGCACTTTGGAACGTGTCTCCACATAAACAAACACACATGCACAAAAATATGCTTGACTAGAACTCAAATGATTTGTCTTTCTGGTCCGTAAATGATGCTCAGGCAACTTTGGTTTTGATTGCGTAGCCCAACTGAAATGTACTTAATGAACATTTAGAAAAGAACCCCACCTCAGCCCATTCCTTCTCATTACAGAAGAGCTGACACAGCAGAATTACTAGCTACGTCAAAAATCCCACTCCATTTTATAAGGAAGAGGATAACTGAGTTTGTAATCTGGCTTTGTAGGAAGGATGCTAAAAGAAAAAATCCCAAACCCAAAACCTTTTAAAAAAACTAAAAAATCATTTACGCACATGGTAAAAGAACTGCTGCTTTAAGCTACTGATACCAGATGACCATTAGGTTATTTAAGAACCTGCCTTTTTGTTTTGCTTGGAAAAACTACGGAGGCACTTGCTGCCCCTCTATAATATAATGCATGTTTTCTTATCCTTGAAAGGGTTTTCGGAAGTAGGTATGCCCATTAGTAAAGGATCTTTCTTGGCATGTTCTTCACAATAGCACATTAAATCTGCTGAGGCTTTTGACACCTAAAGAAAAAATGAAACAAGTCATAACATGGTAAATATTCCAGACATGCTGTAATATGATTAAATGGGCTGAGCTACAGTGACTTTGTTTTGCACATGGAGGAACAGGACTGGAGAAATCAATGCATCATTCAGGTTCAGGGGCAAGGTCACTAAACTCTATGCAAAGAGCAAAAAGTTTCTGGATTTTGCTTATTAGATTGATAGACTGGCCTTTGTGATGCTGAAAGAGAGAGGGTGGAAGAGAAGGTGGAGTGGGGCTGGGAAGAAAAGGGAGAGCTAGGTACCATCTTCTTAAATGTAATTTGTGACAAGTTTGCAAGAGCAGAAAAGAGTAACATTCAACTTTTGTGAGATTCAAACAACAGCATTTAAAACTGAGTAGCGTGTTCAGAATAATACACTAGCCTTCCGGTATGTGGATTTGGTCCTTAGCCATTATAGTCAGTAAGTACTGCCGTATCTGTAAGAGGCTTACAGTTTCTAGGAAAGAGATACAGTCTTCCCCTTGCTTGTTCCTAATGTCCAGCTGACTAATCTACACATCAGGGAATTAACTGGTTTGCTCGCCTGTGGAAAGGCATTTGACAGCTAATACTTGTTAGAAAACTGGAGTGAAATGGGTAAGAAGCAAAAATCCACATCAAACTGGGTGACATTTTAGCTGCACAAGACTCTTTACTATTAAAGCTTCCCCCGCCCCCCCGCCCCCCTTTTTTAAAACTCCAGTTTAGGTATGCCAGGTCTCATCTCCCTTTTTCTTTCAAAAGCCCTACAGATGCCTACAAAGATAAAGCTAACCATCCCAGTAGAATCAGGCAACTAGTATGCTAGATAGTAAACTAACTAGGGAAAAAATAAAGCCACTCCCACTTTTCATTATATATTTCACCTTCCACCTTCTGTAAGCATATTAAACATTTATATCATAAGTTCATGACAGGAAGAATTTGGTGCTCCCACAAGGCCATTAAGCAATGGCTTAACCCGGGCAGGGCAAATGGGGCAATGTCCCCAGGTGCCAATTCAGTGGTTGCTGGGTGGGGACAGGACACAAATAAAAAAGCAGCTGTTGCTGGTAGCCACACAATGACAACTGTGATGGTGGCAAAAACCTGAAGTTGCCTCTACCCCTGTACATTGGTGTTTAGCTGCATCCCATTAAGTGTCCAATGACGCTGTTAGTGCTGCTATATTTTAAGGTAACAAAAAAGAATCAGTTAAAGTAAGTACCAGTTGTTTGAGTAAAGAAACTACCATAATAAAGAGCTATCCTATCCAATGTGATTATACATAGGGAGTTTACTAAAATATAATGTCCATATTCCATACAATTCATGCAGAAATAAATGTAAATAAATAAGAATGAGTTTCTTACCTTTATTCTTTCTATTGAAGCTTCTAGTCTTAGCTGCTGAACAGTCCTTCGGGCCTGAGCTATATTGTTTGTGGTGCTAACTGTTTTGCTAGACATTTTTAATTAAGTCTTTGAAGTTCTGTCAAGAAAAAAAAAAGTATTTTTTAATGGAATGGTAGCTTAATCTGTCTGCATGGAAAGTGGCCACATTCATGAACAGTAACAAAAAGGTTTACAAAAAGTGTTGATACATTTTATATTTTACAGCTAAAATACCATAAAAGAGCCTATATATTACAGATTAAACTATTACATTCCTTTTTCCAATTCCCAGAGCATTAATACAAAATACAAACTCCATTAACAGGTGGTGGTGTTCTTTTCTTTTTTTGCTTCTAGCTAATGGAATAAATATGTTTCTAATCAAAGAGGCAAAATATTCAGAAATGTGTCCATATGCTCATTTTAAATACAGACATGTGCACAGTAGCTTATGGAAAACTGCAGTGAGCTATACACTAGCTAGACTGAACCACACACTGCACTCCAAAGCCTATTACTACTGATTATCATGGGATGATCTCGCATAGGCTTGAGCAAAGGCTGGGGTGTAAGAGGCAATGTGTCTTCCCCTTTGGCTCCCTTCTATTGTTGATGCAGGTAGGGAGTTTTTTTACAACAGTCTCTACAGTGCATGTATACTTTCTTCCAGCTGGTTCATATGATCAGGAGGGAGAGACAGGCACAGGCACTGTCCACTCGATTGCTGAGAGAAGGGAGAAATATCAAATATGGAATCCCTGCTCCCTCCTCCTTCCCCCCCACTTCATTGCCACACATCACATGTAAACTTTTGTTTGGATTCTGTAGCAGCTCAGGAACAGGTTTGCAGCTCCTTAATGCACTCAGACTTAACAGCCAAAGTGGAGAAAAATGCTCCCATGTTCCCAACCCTGCACAGAGCCAGACGCATCACTGGTCCAGAGTTTGCTTGCTTCTACCAATCATACTTTTCTTCTGAGAAGAACTCAAAGCAGCACATGAAGAGTTCTGACAGTCTCACAGTTGAACACCACCTGTGAGCAGTGAAGACACTGGCTCAGTTTGTGACAGATCTCAGTGGCATAACTGCAATTCTCTCAAAGCTTTTGCAGACTGACTCCACAGTGCATAATGCTAGCCCCAGTGAAGAGTCTGAGTGATCTGAATGCAGTCCTTGATCACAGCGTTGTTAAAAACCCTGACTAAACCAACTCCAGTAAAGAAGAGCATTTCTTTGGCAGCCAGGCACAGGAACATGAGACCAACTCCCAGCATCAAAGACACTCTGACATAACCGATGGCTAAGAAGTAGTTACTGAGAATCTTGAGTGCTTATAAGACCTTACACAGACAAGAGAGAAAAGCTGTCGCTGTGCCAGGTACAACTCAGCAATAGCCAAGACAAAAAAAAGAGAGAGAAACTGCCATCTAAACCCAAACTGCAGCACAAGAACAAGTGTGAGTTTTGCTCAGCCTGCTGTTTTCAGTACTTGCCCAGCTTTGTGGTGGTCTCGCAACAAAGCCCTTACAAAAGTTTCTTAACTGTGTCTACCTAAATGTGCTCAGTTATGTTCAACTTTAATTTGTTACTTTGTTAATTTGTACACCATTCAAACTTTGAAGATCTAGTAAATCCTGGAGCACCCTCCAACTGCCCTGGCCTTTTTAGCTTTGCAATAAGCAAGTATAAGACATCTTACTGTGATTGAGCCATTCTCACTTTATGTGGAATATTACTGGATTGCTTGAAGACATCCCTGACCAGAAACTGTTGTTTTCCATCTTACTGAAACAGAGCTGTTGTAAGGGCTTCCTTCTACAAGATGTAAATACCTCTGATTTATCATCAGTCCCTTATGACTATAATCCTGCTGTACAGGCACACTGTACAGGAAGGGAAGAAAATATTTTCTGATCCCAATTGTACATAGGGACACAGACACAAAAAGTTACCCTCTGCTAAATGGCAAGGGACCATATCCACTCAGTAGAGCAGTTACTGTTATGTTTTTGTCATTTCACAAAGCTTGGACAGATGCATCTTGAATTGATAGGGGCATGCTGAAGCAGAGATGGGCTAAAGGCCAGATTTTACAGTTTGCAAAAATTTCCATTTTTGGTGGAACCAAATCTCTTACAAAACAGAAATCCCTGACAAGTCCCCTTTCTGAAACTGACTCTCTCAAATGGAGCGTAGTCCCCACGACCCACAGCTGCTGTATGAAATTTAGCAACCGTGAAACTGAGAAGGACGTCAGTTCTGCTGAACAAGTGCCCTGGGTACCTAGGTGTGACTCTGAAGTAGCTGGGGATCTCAGGACTTCCAGACTCCAGAGCATGCTAGCTGAGCTAGCTTGAGCAGCCAGCTGACCACAGAGTCAGGATGCCTTAGGGCCCCAGCCTGTGGCTATACGGAGGTGCCTTGAGACATAGCATGCAATCCTGTCTCGACTTCCAGACTTTGATTCCTGCTTCTGTACAAGGACTGCAACCCCAGCCCAGGTGAGAACCAGACTGCCAGGCCCAAAGTCCTGGCTCTGTGGCAGACAGCCTCTGGCATGGCTTAATATTTAAAAGTCTGGGTCACCAGCAGCCTACCAGGGTTCTCTGAAAACCTAGTCTTTGATTCCCCAATAGTTCACAATATCCAAGATATTTTAGGTGAAACATTTCAGGCCCAACAAAACTGGCATTTTCTGACAAATCTGAATTAACAGACATTTTCTGACCAGCCCTACTGAAATTGAAGTTAAGAACCGCTGGCATCTCAGAAGATTAAGGCAACTACCATGGGCTTAGAGAAGATTCCCCTGTTCCATGGGGCCTCCATTTGAAGTGACTTCTTACAACTTGGTCAAACTAACAATGAAAGGTGTGATCCTGCAAGCCTTCTATAGAGACAACCGCAAAAGGTAAAACCCAACAGGAGTCCTGCATACTGCAGTTGGGCCCGAAAGTAGAATCCCAGTTTAAAAGACAGCAAGAAATACCTCACCATTTGCAGAAATGCAAGACAACTTGCTTGCTTCTGGTCTGATCCTAAACTTTGGATATTGTCTGTCTTTTTATTTTAAAAAAGAACATTACCCTTCATTTTGCTCTCCAGTAACCCTCTCTCGGCTTAACAAACCCACTTTTCAGTAGGCTCAAACAACTGATCAACCTGTCTAGATCAGCAGTTCTCAATGAGGGTGTTATGGCACCATGGGTGCCTCGAGATCCTTTCAAAGGTCACTGTTAAGTGTGTAAACATGATGCACAAGATAAACCCTGTTTCAGTGACTTCTCAGAAAACAAAAAAATTTCAGTTAAGTTCCATATTCAGAAATAATACATTAAAGTATCTAATTACTGTATTTTCTCCCATACAACATACACCTTCCTCCAAAACTAGGGTTAATGTATTAAGCAGTGAAGCTGATTTCCTGCCTGGGAAAGAAGGCCCCTGCTTTGATTCCTGCTCCAAAGTGCATCAGCTGTTCAGGCAGCTGAGGGAGTCAAATGACCTAATGGCTCATTGCTCTTCACTTCAGACATTAATAATCATTTCTTCTTTTTAATGGTCTTGACATTCCACTGACCCAGCTAACCTTTCTTGGGGCAATTTTGCAGTTTCCTAGTTGTCCTGGTTTCTCTCCTCCTATTTCACAGCCTTGGCGACTCTTTACCACTTTTCAAAATCATAGATCCACCCATGGAGACCAGTCTTCAGGAGCAGCTAAAGTTAAGCCTTAGTTAAGCAGGAAAGGGTGAGTGAGTTAGCAGAAGACAGGCCCTATCTCTGCTCTATGCAGCCAGAACCCTGGAAAAATCATCTTTTCATTCTGCCTTTCAAAAACAAGGTGCAAAATATATTCTGAGATGTGTTTTATGTGAGAAAAGACAGCAATTATCAAACTACAAAAGACAATGAAATAATATGATGCAAATAATATGATGCCATGGCAGGGGGTCGGACTAGATGATCTGCTCAGGTCCCTTCCGACCCTAGAAACTATGAAATCACAAAATACTTTTGGAGGTGGAATATGTCATAAATTGATTCAGGCCCATACCTAAAATACTGTGCATGCTTAGGAGCAAGCAAAAATACAAAAGTTGCATCTAATCTGGGATCCCAAATACTAACGTGCCTTACTTATCTTACGTGGTCACTGCACAGCATTAACATGGGTCAGAGTCAAGACTGTTTGTACACCCCGTCAGTTCAGCTTTTTCTTAATTCTGAATGATCTATGCTGTTTGATTTTTGGATAACTGCAACATCCCCACAATGCATTTATTTTTCCCTGAAGTCCTACCATGTTCTGTCAAATAAAACTTCATTTAAACTTTGTGTGGCAGTCCGTATAAATGTTTAGGAACCCAACATTTCTGTACCTCTGCATTAACAATTGCCCTATGGACTGAGCTGGACTGTCAGTTCAGTTCAAAACTTCAGAGTTAGTTCTAGTGAATGCTTAGCCCAAGAGGCCTAAATAATGGAGTACTTCTTGTGGCATGGTAAATGGAGCCCTGAACTGAGACTCAGGACACATGGATTCTATCCTGGGTTCTGTCCCCTCCCTGCTGGGTGACCTTGGGCAAGTCACTTCTCTGTGTACCTCAGATTGCCCCCTTGTAAAGTGGAAGTAATGGTACTGACCTTCTTTGTGAAGCATGTTTGGACCTGCTGTGTAAGAGGTAGCTACTACTGGGAACAGACCCCCCTGACAAATTAACTTATCTCCATTATGCTTACATAATTACAATGGTGAATCAGAAGGCAGTGTAAGATCAAAGTCCTGCTGCCATTTCTAGTGAATTTATCAGCAGAACTCTCAGGCTTTAATGAGAGTAGGATCAGACTGCAAATAAGCAGCATACAGGAAGGGAAACAGTAGAGTACAGAGCCTTCGAATGAATACGGTCAGCATTCAGCAGGTGACACATAATACAAAAGCTCTTACAGCTGGGAAAATGCCAAATGCGCAGTGTGGAAGAACTCTTTTTAGCAAGGTTTTGGCTAGATTAGAAAATGACAGGTAGTGCCTCCTATTAATAGACAGAAGGAACACAGTTTAATAATATAATTTAAAATTTATTTCCTGGACCCTG